ATTTAATAAAAATTCATTTTAATTACTGAAATTCTCTGGTTGCTACTTTTTTTGAACGTCATGCACTTGGCGTTTGAGTATTAATTTACGTATTCCCTTAAGGTTTCTTTCTAAGAGTGGAAATTAGTTTTTTTAATTAAAATTATGTTTCCTTTATTCGATGCTTTCGTTCATTACACCAGGGAAAAGAGATTTTTGTTTTTTCAAAACTGAAGTTGCAAAGTAAATTAGGTATTAGTTGTTAATGGTTGTTTTTATTATGACACAAAAATAGTAATAGATTGCATCTATTTTTCAGGTATTTTTGGTGCAGTATCAATTTGTAAAGACACAATTTTATCATTAATAATCTTTGATTGTCATTATATTAATAATGCAATATCAGTGCTTTATTTTGCTATAAACAAGTTTATTTTTATTAGTTTGACAAAATTATGTATAATTCCCATAAGAAGCCATGTATTTTGAACACCGTATGCAGTACCAGCGCCCATGCGGTTAATTATAGAAGCTCAATTAGCATGCGTTTTTTGGGACCGTATTTTGAGTATGCCAGTCACATACTTTGATTTTCTCTTACTATACGGAAAATGGTCGCACTGCGCAGCTTTCCGAGTCCCTTTTAAAAGGAGATAGAAAACTCCGCCATTTTGATGGCTTATTACGTGTTGCCTACATCTTGGCGCAATATTTTTAATAGGTGTGTTTTAATAATCCGCTTCTGCTTCGGAATTGGCGGTTTTCTTGTTTTAATCTGACAGGTTAAAACGACTAAACCCAAAATAACATCCACTCTAGGGACACAAATTCAGGATGCGCAGAAGACTGCTGTTTTATTATAGGCGGTTGTCATATATTGTATTATCCGAGTTGCGCAGTGTATAAATAAACTGGAACATTGAGATCGAAAGTGCCGACGCAGAGTGAGCGAACTGATTCTTCAGCTATAAACTGTGGTAAAGGCATCAAAATGGCCGCGCCCTATGTTGGGCGTGTCGGACCTCTTTCTTGCACCGTATAGTAATCAAAGTATGAGATGCCAATTCGTCTCCTTATCTCTAGTCTTCATAGATATGAATGATGTACCTAGATGTACTGATGGCAAATTTTAATTTAGATATCAAAAGTAGAAGTAGACGATGTAGAAAACAAACCTCTGCGTTTATATAAATAATAAAAAGTTTATTGCAACACTTATTCATATAGGTAATTAAGGTTTATAGATCATTTTTGTACCTACCCTTTTCATCAATTTGCCTTGTAAGAACCACATTTTATTGCAATTAGGAGATCCCTCCATGTGAAATTGTTTAGGACAGGTAAGAAAATAAACATGTATCTTTGGAATGTGTTTATTAATCTAAAATGTGGCAGTTATAATTTAATACCTACTCTTCTGTAAACAAAACAAAACAAAATGGCACTTAACACTTATTTTTTCAAAATCCATTTCAACAATATTTACAATTTTGTAGGAAAGAATATACAATATTTTCCTTATTTAATTATTGTTGTCTTGTACACTAAAAATGATGAAAAATAGTAATGTTCACACTTTGTTTTGATGAAAATTATGGGTGGTTATTATTATAGGGACCGTGCGTGAAATATAGAGGCAGCACTACTGCCGAACTTAGCCCTCCCTAGTGTTTAATTTTAGAATTAAATGGGGTAAACATTGCAAGTAAATAATAAAGGGTATTTTTTTAAATATTAAATATAGTTAAAAATAGATACCGGCCCGTACCAAACAATCGTGTACATGGTCAAAATGACGTAAAATGTGAAACATTATTAAAATCTGGACATGCATATACATTTTAAGCAAAAAGATTTAAATGGCCAAGTGACAATAAATTGTGAAGTTGTACCTTAAACAAGTGTATCCAATGTTAAAATATCGGTATTTAGTAACACTGAATTTAAAAGTATTACAATAACATTTAAATAATGTAAATTAATAAAAAAGATTGATAATAATAATTATAAATCTTTTTATCTTTATGTTAATCGAAATGTCATTCATCCACTGACGTTTATGAGATGTTCAATGATACATATTATAGATTGCTCACCCATCTATAAAAAAATTATGAAAAGCGGGTTGCAATGTGCCTTTCCTAGTGCTCACTAAATAGAGCCGTTCTAGCCCAAATGTGTTTTAAAATAAAATTTCAGCATTTTAATCTTTAGAAAAAGAAAATAATTAAAGTTTTACTTCAAGACATGTCATTATGTATTTGGAAAGTTGAGTTTTCATGTAGTTAAATAATGATATAAATAATTTTAGACTACTATTTCAGAAACAATTCTACATAACATACATAATTGCAATATGTAATACAATTTTGAAAAGGTAATAATTTTGATATGAGGTATAAACAACTTTGGGAAGAGTTGTAATTGGACACTTATCTATTATTCTGAATAATGTTTAATGGTAATGTCACTAAAAAAATTTACAAAAATCACTGGATTTTTAATATTTTAAAGTTTGTTACAATCTCTTTTGACAGTAATTGCAATGTATTATTTATGATGTTTATTTTAATAATAAATGAGAAATAGTTAATAAATTGTAAAGAGGGCCGTGATATTTTTGTCAAATTGGACATTCTTATTTCATATTCTACATTAGTTTTAATCAACAGAATAAACCATTAATTATCTGTAAAATTATATTTATATAAAATGTTCATTTAAATATGTAAAAATCTTAATGACAAGAAAACATTAAAGATTCTAATTTCTAAACCGGTTCTGTAAATGATTTCTTTACAACTAAGTGCTCAAAATTGATACAAGCTAGATAAAAAGAAAACTTTGCCCAGTGAAATACGCTTTTCGTCGTCTGATTTACATATGGATAAGCAATCTTTGTAATTATGTATATCATTGGGTGTGAGGCATAATTGTGCTCTGTGGAAATTTATAAAATTTCTTTACTATCGAATGAAATCCAGGTTTCCAAAGTGATGTGTTTGTACATCCACGGATGCAACAAGTTTTTTCGATATTGATATTACGAAAATAATTCGACTTCATTTTATTAATAATTATTAAACAATAAATGCCGTATAAAACATTAATAAATACCCCCCATAAAGTTCACATTTTTGTCACCAGTTAGCGTTAAAGTCATGACGCACGGTCCCTATAAGTATGTGGTATAGTATTTTTCTTCTCGTTTTCACTTTCCATTTCGTTTATTACATAGAGTATGATTAGTAGACATTAATAAATTGCCATTATTTTAAAAAAAATTAGATATAGACGTATTTTTTAATCGATAAAGATAAAATTAACTGAATTTTTTTGACAGTTCGCAGTTATTATTTGTTTTAATTTGAGGTACTTCACCTTCCCCCGAGATCTGCAGTGGGATTCTCATCTTTCGTACTCGGGATATCCCGAGAAGCTCACTATTCGCTACAAAATAATCGAATCTTATGTTAAATGGAGTTGGGTATCGATCTAGACGTGAAAATAGGGCCTTCGCGTTGGCGTTTTATATTTCTTGGTTGTTGTTATGTCATTAAATGGTGTTTTTGGTTAGAAAATTTTTCGTTTGAAATATTTTATTTAATAATATTAAGCTAATGTACTTATAACATTTTTGTTATCTCTATTAAATTAGACGTTTAGTAGAATACATATTGTTATTTTAAAATACAGTAAAATGAGTGGAAGACACTTGTGTGCCTCAATATTGATATTATTGACACAAAATTGCAAGATTTCAGGTTAAAAATCGATTCTCGGCACGTAAAGATGAAGCGAGTGACACTGACATTTAAGATCGATATATATCCCTTCTCGATATCAGAGATAGGAATCGCAAAATCTTTCTCGTTACAACACGTCTCGAGTACGAAACATGAGAATCCCACAGCTGGTGAATTTTTATATACTATGCAGTTTTTGGTGCCATATTTTAAAAAGAGTGGAAACACCTGTAAAATTTCATTCACCGGGTCCTGAGCCCAATCAAAATCTCAAATCTAGGGCTGGTTCAGCTTCAAAAAATATAACAATTATCTTAAATTAAATACGAGTAAAATGTTTGATCTTCTTTTTCTTCTCTTTCTGGGAACGAAAATATCTGTAAGTAATATTTCTAAACGTATTCTTACTCTTTGTCTCATATTGTTAAATGGTTGTCTAGTCTGTCATGCCTGTAAGCAGACTTCACAGGTACCTTCTGTATCTTTATTTACATTCAGATTGATTTAGAGTAATCCCTGTTGATAAATCAATTTTTTTTCTACCATCACTATCCAAAGTAGGCTTTTGCGCTTCGAAATACAACCCCAAAGTTGACGTTTTCTGCGAACTAACATTAAGTGACAGTTTAATAAATGATTTTCAAGTTATTTGTACGTAGTTTGATGTTTTTGTTTTATTATCCAAGTTAACATTGACTTTGAATATCAACTCCGGTTTTTATGGTTAACGTAGATATAGGCAACACATTATACACACTACAAATTTTCAGATTCTATATCTATATCTTAAAATAATGTGATCGTAGAAAAATCTTGCGTGCATTTTGAGCGAAAAGTTCGTTGCCGCTTTCGACAGATTGCCGCGCTCCGCTAGGCGTCGCACGGGCAACTTTCTGTCACAAGCGGCAAAGTATCACTTTTCGCTCTTAATATACTAATAGCTGTTTGTATGTTTTAATAACAATTTTTTTCTAGTAGTCTAATTAACCGAAAGAATGAATGTTTTCTTATAAAAATAAACGCATTTATTAATTTGTTCTACGTAAATACTATTAAAAATTCCAAATTAAGTTTCATTCGATTTAGCTACCCTATAATGTTCCATATCACTATATTAACATTTTTTATATTAGTTTTTTTTTTTATAATAATAAGAATAATTGCCCTCTATATTAGAACCCGTGGAGAACAAAATATACGATTCCCATTCTTCAAATAAAAGCAATAACTCAATCCGCAAATAATAATACAAAAATATTTTTCTTCAATTTCCAGTGCGAAGAAACTCTGTCGGCGGGCGACATCGGCGTCTTCGCCAGCCGAGCGGGCCCCAACACCTGCTGGCACCCGGCCTGTTTCACCTGCACCGTCTGCCGAGAACTCCTGGTCGACCTCATTTACTTCTACAGGGAGGGCCGGTTGTATTGCGGCCGGCATCACGCGGAAACCATCAAACCGAGATGTTCGGCGTGCGACGAGGTGAGTTCAACTTTTACAATGTGAACTTGATGACTTTCGATGAGATACAAGAGTTATTAGCAGTGGTATCAATACGTATCAGGTTTATTCTGAGTCAAAACTAACCAGTTTTTCAAATACAAATAGTATTAGAATGGACTTGAACAGATGCGGTGAAGTACCTGGTATTATCACAGTATAGAGGTGCTCTAAACCCACACATGATTTCATATGATTGAATCTAAATGTAAGACAAATTTTACGTCAGAAAATGTAAAAAAACTTCACAAATTTTTCTAATCTGTGCGGCCTAACGCCATTTTTCTTTAACACAGATAAAATCTACATCTGATAACTGCCGATAAGTTCTACCTCGGGTCAAACTAGAATACATGCGTTATGGCCATCTAAATTTATGCGTACGTTAGGGTCTATCACTAATGGCGTTCTGAATTCGTATTGGAATAAAAAATTACCAATGAGCTCGCCCGAAAAAAAATTTTCACCCAAGCAAAGGATCCCTTGGCATTCTGTGATACTTTTTTTCTGCTTAACAGGTTTGTTAATAAAGAGAAATAATTTAAACCCGATTAGCGTCCAGTGGTGTCCCGTAGGGAAACTATTTAACATTTTTTTTAACATGTCACTGTTTTTTTAATGTATTTTTTTAAATTTAGAATAATCTATTAAAAATTTAACTTTTTTTGGTCTGTTAGAATCATTTTATTGCATGTCCATGTGGACTATATTATTATATAATATTAAAATTAATAAAAACTGGGAGGTGTGCGTTTTTTAATGATGGATGTAATATCTAAAAACAGTCATAAATGCAAGATAGAAACAAAAATAACTATAGTAACAGATTAAAATTATCCTACAACAATAATTGTTCTCGCTGAGGCCCGTATTCTTTCATATATCTCAGGAGTAGTTCTGGTAGTATCAAATTCCCGAATTATTCTATTTCTTAAATCATCTAATTTACTGGTATTTTATACAGGTGATATTTTGTGACCCTGGTTTTTGGATGCAGTACCGGCTTGCCCCCCTCTTCAATCTCAGCGTCTTGGCATCAACTTTTGGGACATCTTCGAAATACTGGGTGATCAAAATTTTTCAGTAGTTTATCCCTCATTCTTGAGTCTTTTTGGTTATTTCCTCTTCTTCCAATGTGAGTAGGATGTCCCCTACCTGTTGGATATCCTCTACCTATAGAATGTCCTCTACCTGTAGGATGTCCTCTACCATCCTTCGAATAGCCTCCCATGTGTCCTTCTCCAATATCATGGCCTCTCCCAGGCTGTTCTCGTTTAGGGCTGTTTTTTTAACAAACCATTATTCTATCTTTCAACGGTTGCAGTCGAAAATCGTTTGTCGGAGTACCTTTTGTCTGCAGTACATGCTTATATATGTGGCTCTTTTACCAATGTTCATGTACGATATGAAACAGTCGTGTCCTGTTAGAAATTGTGCTACATGATAGTCCAGGCGTCTAAACTGGCACTTTTACAGACTCACCACGTTAGTAAATATTCCCTTTGTCCTCTGATATTTATCTGTGATATTCTACCATTCATAATGTGACCCATTTATAGAATAGCCTCTCGCTTCATACCCTTTGTTTCTCTACCGTTTCCATTCGGATGCCTTCAATGAAGTAGATCGGTAGACGATAGTAACTCTCAACGCGATCTTCCGTTGGTACTTCTTCATCCTTTTCCGCTATGTTACCATATTCATACCTTGTCCTCGTATGGGGAATCCATACAGTAATATTGAGTGTACCACTCCTCTCATCAGCTCTCGTTTCTTGCTTCCTGGAGAAGCATCCCGCTCTTTCCTCTGCTTTATTTGCGGCAAGTCAATATCTAAGGAGCCATAGCTGTGGTCCGCCTAGACCTATCTAATTGTTAGAATACGCTTCATTTAAATATTCTCATCCAAAAGAGAAACATCTGCAGAAGCGCCATCACGCATAAACTAACCATATAAGATTACTTTACAAAATTTGTAGGTCATCGAATAACAAAGGCAATTCGTGTTGTAAAAAATGCCTGCATGAGTGACCATAAAGTCGGCCGGGCAAAAAGAAAAACCTATCAAATTATACCAGCCTATACATTTAGTAAAAATATTCTTGAAAATATGCTTGTAGTTGTCAAAATTGATAATTGCATTTCTTCAAAAATTAGATTGATTGGTAGAAATTACACGAAAGCAGTGCCTGCACCATTTAAATGTGGTAATAGTTAAAAATCGCATAATATATGCCAAACAATTTGATGGCAAATATTTCAGTTTCTGGCAATTTTTCTGGTACTTGTTTCACTCCTTCGATTATAAAAAAATATTACTGTTAGGACCCACGTACATATTTAGGACTGCCATTGATTTCTGAAACATAAAACTCGTACACCTCAGTATTTATTAATTTTAAGTTTTAAAGCTATGCGATAAACGTTTTAGTAATTTTTATGTGGTCCGCAGGGACATTCGATCAAATAGTTTTTATTTTTTTCTTGAAAATGAAGCAAGATTCGTAAAAACTTTATAAGACAAAAAAGATAAATTTTTATTTGCTTATTATAAATCAATAAATTAAAATTGTAAAAAATCAGTAGCGATTTTTTATGTTTATTAGGGATTAGGTTTCTGGGACGCCACTGGACTTAATAATTTCAATCCAATCTGGTTTATTCTCTTAGTACTACAAAGAAATCTTCCCAATTTAATCAAAATAGTCAAAAGGGCGATTGAAATGTTAATGAAAAACCAATTTTTTTACATTTAACACCCTGTATCTTAAAAACAAAGCAATTTAGAGCACATGTTTATATTAAATTTTAGTCCTATGTGTATCAATTTGATAGATATGAGAGCCGAAAAACTTTTACATTCATGATTTATATGGCATGTAATTTTTGTTTCTAAAAACACGTCCTCTTAATTCTCTTGTACTAAAAGAGTCATCGGGATCCAATATTAAATATAAATAAACATGTTTATTATTTATTTGAAATTTTTGTTTGTATTTTTGCAGATCATCCTCGCAGACGAATGTACGGAAGCGGAAGGTCGAGCTTGGCACATGAAACACTTCTCTTGCTCCGAATGCGAAAGACAACTAGGTGGCCAGCGGTACATAATGAGAGACGGCAGGCCTTACTGTCTCCATTGCTTCGATGCCATGTTCGCTGAGTACTGCGATTCCTGCGGAGAGCCAATAGGAGTCGACCAAGGCCAGATGTCGCACGAAGGTCAACACTGGCACGCCACTGAAAGCTGTTTCTGCTGCCACACTTGCCATACGTCGCTACTAGGAAGACCGTTCCTTCCTAGAAGAGGAGCCATTTATTGTTCCATAGCTTGCAGCAAGGGCGAGCCTCCTACGCCGAGCGATTCTTCAGGACCAAATACTCGAATACCTAGACAACCTTTGAAGAACAGACCGCCCAGACCTCCTTCTCCAAACGAAAGTAGTACACCTCCTTTGTCGCCTTCCGTACGAAGACATTTGCCGCCTAGATCTCCTACTACGCCATCACCTTCTTCACCGACGGGACCATGCCAATATGTAAATAGATCTCCTACTAACACTAGGTCACCTAAAATGGGAAGAAGAGCCTTACAACGATCCCCTAAGCCTTGTTCTATACCTAGCACCCCCACATTATCGGATAATGGCACGAATACCTCCCCACTCGACCAAACCAACGAAGACACTCCCAAAGGTCTTCCATCTTCATCGCCTAGCTGTCGAGGTTTAGACAGAGTATTACTCGAAAGGAACCTAGAAAGGTTATTAACCGAAAGGGGTACCCAAAGCCATTCTCCAGATCTAGAAAAATTATTATTAGCTAGAGACAGAAGCCGGGAACCTTTACATCTAGCCGACTTGAGCATAGACGAATGGACCGCTCGTTGTATGTCAGATGGGAAAAAAGACGACTCTGATAAGCAAAGCAGTAATGCCGAAGAAAAAGATTCTAATACTAGTAATGCAGAACAAACCCCTCAACATGCGTCTTCCATGCCTGAACTAGCCATACCAGGATCTAGTGATACCGGAAACTCTACTACGCCCGGATCTCCTAGTAAGAAAGGCAAAGAATCTCTAAGTGTTCGATTCCAAGGCGACAACGAAGGCTTTGAAGGTGATGAGAACGACAACGCTAGTTTAGAAGCTTCGAGGCGATTTCCAAGGAGTAGAAGCTACTCCGGTAGATCCAGACATGGCGATTCTTTACAAAGAAAAGGCAAATCTAAAGCGACGAGTTCTGATTGCTCTCGTGCCGGTAGCTCGAGAACTAGAGAAAGAGACGACGATACTGAAAGCTACTGTTCTACTTGTTCATCCAGTTCTTCTAGCGACGATCTCGATTACCAGTTACCGCCAAGAAGAGCTTACGGAGGTGTACGGATTTCGTATGTTCCTAACGATACTCTTGCCATAGCTAGGAGGCGGCAAGCTACGATTCAGAAATCACCGAGTAAGAAGACGATTCCGATGGACGACAAAGATAAGAATTGTGTAATATCGTGATTGTTGGTGTGGAAAAATTATTGGTCTTCTTTCAAGCGATAAGCGACACCAACTTTAATATGTTATGATTTCATTTACAAATCTTGATACAGTTAAAACATTTTTGGAAAGCAAGATGCTTTCTAAACGGGATTTGTTTTGAATGAAATCTTTTGCGTAAAAGATAATGTATTAGGCGATAACTCAGTAAAATCTATCGATTTTTTTATAGTACAGAGCGTTCTAACGTGCATGATGAGCTCTGTAAAGGCTTTTTGTAAATTGTTGAAATTTTTTATGTCTACAAATTTAAATTTGAAATAATATATACAGAGAATTATTTATTTTGAACATTCTGTATTTTTTATGAGATAATCCCGAGGGGTAAACCATAGGTCAAAATGTATACACCTCAATTCCTTTTGCTATTTCCTCTAATATGCTTTGGCAATGGATATCTGAATTTCCTCGAAAATTCTCGCAATTCTACTGCAATTGTTTGTCAATTCCTGTAATTCCTTTAAAATTATCTATCGATTCCTCTACAATTCCTCAGCAATTCTCCTAGAGGGATCAGCAATTCCTTGGCAATTCCCACAATTCCTTGTCAATCACCGTAGTTCCTTTAAAATTATCTCTCAATTATTCTTCAACTCCTAAATTACTTGACAATTCTCGCAATTCCCAGGCAATTCCTTGTCAATTTTCACAATTCCTTTAAAATTATCTGTCGCTTCCTCCACAAATTCTTTAAAATTCTTCGGCAATTCATCAGAATTTCCTCGCAATTCCAAGGAAAATCCTTGTCAATTCTTGCAATGCCCCGGCAATTCCTTGTCAATCCCCGCAATTCCTTTAAAATTATCCCTTAATTATATCTCAATTTATCTGCAATTCTGCGGTAATTTTCACAATTCCTTGTCAATTTCCCCAATTCCTTTAAAATTATCTCTCTCGATTCTTCTACAATTTCTTTAAAATTCTACAGGAATTAATCTGCATTTCCTCGTCAATTCCTGCAATTCCAAGAAAATTCCTTGTAAATTACCGATTTGTTTTTTATCTCTAGATTATTTTCCAATTCCTTTAAAATTCTTCAGTCAGTCATCGGCAATGCAACTGCAATTCCACAGCAATCCATCTGCAATTCCTTGTTAATCCCCGCAGTTCCTTTAACATCATCTATTATTTTCTCTGCAATTCCTCTAAAATTCCGCGGCTATTCTTTGTCAATTCCTGCAATTTCTTTAAAAAATTTTAATTTCTGTATTATTCCTCTGCAATTCCTCTGCAACTCCTCAACAATTCTCGCAATTCCTTAGCAATTTCACGGAAATTCCCACAGTTCTTCTCCTTAATTCCCTCTAAAGCTGTAAAATAATAAAAGCACTTTATAAACTTTACAACCAAATGGCCATCGACCTAGGTCCTTCAGCCAGCCTAAATTTGTAAATTCTTCACAATTCTCTACCCATATTTAGCTATCTCTAGTTTACACCTCGGACAATCATATATAAGTTAATATTTCAATTAATTCTTACCATTTTTTTATTTGAATTACTGTATCAATTTCATCATTATTACTAGAATGTACTAAAAGTTATTTTGAAATGTTGACGTATATAAATTTTTCTATTGTAAAAAATTAAGGTGAGGTGGAGTAAGTGAGCCTTGGTATAAATTACTTTTAAACAAAAAGAAGTACTTGCATTTGTTTCTCTGTAATTTTCTAATAAAATATTTGGTATATCGTTAAATTTTTCTCATTTCATTGTTCAGTTTTGAAGTTGTCAGTTTTCTGACTTCTAAATTGTGACCGGACATCTAATCTGCTTCAAAGCACTTAATATGAAGACGTGTACATTTTACTCAGCTATTATTATTCGAATGATTGATATACTCCACCTTACCCAACCTGAAATATTTTTTTTAATTATTTTATATTAAAAAACCGTCTCTTTTTTAAAAATTGTGAAATTATACAATAATTTTTAATACAAATATATACTCTTCTGTATTTTCTCATTTTTAATTTATAAAAATGACAATTTTTGAAACTTTTTTTTTAATACTTTTTACCCTTATAAGGGAGATAGTTTTTCAATTTAAGTATTCAGACAATTATTTAAAATTTAAAAGATGTTAAAATATGGACTAATGTGTCAAAAAAACTATGTACCACTTTTATCTATTTCCTTTATTCCAAATGGTTTCACTTTTTACATTTATTCATATTTTGGGAATGTAGGTAGGTATGTCTTCTTTTTTTCTTCTAAAACGTACTAACCCTTTTGCTATTGCTTGTCCTTTATAGTTTCTCAGCTATCTTTGTTCTACAAACTTCCAAGGGCCTTTTTTTTCAGTTCGCAAGTAAAATTACTGCAGTTTTTATTTTATTATAATATTCATGTTATCTGCGTTCTTCAAAAACATGAATTATTTCTAATACCTTCGTTCCAAAGTAAATCATTGATAAAAATAAAAATTAATGATTTAAAAACATTTTCTTTTTACTTTTAAGTGGAATTGTCTTTTTAACATCATAATCATTTTTTTAAGTTTCTTGAATTCAAATCTAAATTCTATGTGAACAAAATTTGCTTTAATAGATAAAATTTTCATCATCAGTCCATCTGATGTGTGTATTTTGTTGCTTCTATTTGTAATACGAAAAATTGAAAAACTATGTCTAAATAAAAATAATTTTAGAAGGAACTGATAGAACTCGTGTCATATCCAAGGTAGAAAAAATTGTTGCCTTCCAAATTATTATAATAAAATTGCCAAAAATATACTAGTAATGTCAAACAATATGTATATCCAGGGTACACAATAATATTGTCCAAAAATCACAAATGGAAACTGCCTTCATTATATATCTTATATATACATTTACGCTTTAAAGTAAATTATTATACATAATTATGTGTGTTTTATATCATGTACAAACTAGGATCTTTTTCAAATTATTAACTCTAGAGGGTGTACCAATAAAAACCTGCAGATCGAATGTTTTAGAAGACAATGGAAATATTCCAATTCTGTAAAAGCCAAAACTGTCTATCGAATTGTTTTAATTTCAGAAACTCTCTTCAAAGAAAAAACTGCAAAATCATGTTATGTCGTTTTATACTAAATTATCTTTATCTAAAAATGCTTCTTAAGGGAGCTAGAGCTGTTTGAAGGTGGCGCTTTAACATCGGTTTAATTAAAATAACTTCAAAACTGTTTTTTTTTAAGATATAATTATGTACTTTTATTTCTTGGAATCTAACCAATAATATTTGGTAAGATTTCTTTTTAATGTAGTCATATTGGATATTTTTATTCAATTTTTTTGTCTTTGACGTATTTAAAAAAAATCGTCACTTTCACACAAAAGTCTCCATGACGAAAAGTTTTCGAGAAAAATCGATTTAAACTTTTCATTTTTTTTTTGTGGATGAAAAGTCTTCCAAAGACCAAAGGTCTCGTGCTTGACCTGACGGTGTCAGATTTTTACTGACTAAAACACTTGCTTTTGTTATTTCTGGTAGACACCGGGATCACCTGTTAGGTAGGTATTCATCGGTACCTGCCATGGTCGTTCTTTTCTCTTCAGTATTCAGTTCTTTTTTTATCTATCTGCGAGAATTTATCTCTATTGGTTATTCACTACCTGTTGATCTTCTAGTTTTTTTTGTTTCATAGTAGTCTTTATCAAATTATGGATCAACACTAGGGTTATCACCTGTTTTTTTTTTTTTTTTTTTTTTTTGAAAAGGACAGTTCTTTTTTGTAGTAAAATGTCCTTGTGACCTTTTAAAGCTTCAAATGTCCTTTTTTACTTTTTTATAGCACACATCTTTGGAGGGGACATGGTTTGTACATAAGCAGGGGCCTTTTTTTCTTTTGGAACTTCAGTAGAAGGATGAGGACATTTGTAGGCCGGAGCCCCTCTCAGCATCGTAGTCCTTTATTCACTTTTCAAAAAGGCGGCAACCCTAATCAGCACCCACTTTTCTTCAGCTTCCATAAATAATTTCCCTTACAATATTGTCCTTGTTCAGGTTTAAATTTATTATATTTGCTGGCCCCGTTCTTTCTGTTATCCATCTTGGGCATGACAGTATTGTGTGCCCCGTAAAGTCCTGGTTCTGACAGTATTTGCATTCTGATGTGTCCATTAGTTTCATTTTTGCCGTATACGTTCCTAATCAGCAATGCCCTGATATGAAATATGTAAGATAAAAGTTCTCCTATATTTACATTTGTTCTTATTAGTTGCTTGGTCCAAGTCGCCATATCCCTATATTGCATTCACATCTTCTGCCATTGTGCAAGAGTATACTCCCTTTCCTCTCTTTGCACTATTTCCAGGTGGCTATCCTCCCGTCTGTAGAGTCTGTCTCTTTCCTCTGTGAACAACTCAAGCGGAAGGATGCTCCCTATAACCTCTTTAACATTCGTTGATACTGTTATGTATCCACTTGTCACTCTCAATAAGGCTCTTCATTGAATTCTCCTGAGCTTTTGTAATCGCCACCTTCGTGAGTTCCTTCCAAATTGGAGCTGATACAAAAGTATTACATTATATAATGCTGTCCTCTTCAGACTTCCTGGGCCCCCAACATTTCTCATAATCCCAGCCATAGCATTTAGTTTGATTTCCGCTTTTTGGTACTGTACCTATTTAACGTGTCCTCCAAAGTTAAGTTTGTAGTCTAGAATGACACCTACGTACGTAATTTGTTGTGTCTTATTTAGCTATCCATAATTATATTGTTTATCTCTGCTTTTCTCCCAGATCCTCTCAGTAAGACTGCTTCTGTTTTTGTGGCGAAACACATGCTTCACTATCCAGTGATTCGTTTACGTTAGGTTCAGTTCTTCAACATCATTTGCTTTTACTATGATTGCAAGGTCATCCTCAAAAGCCACCGTGGTGACTTCTTCTCTCAGTTTTATTCTTAGAAGATCGTCGTACAGTAGGTTCCATAAAACCGGCTTAGAACTGATCCTTGAGGTAACCCTATAGATGTTCTAAGAGTGTGTTTTCCTACCTTTATATTTCTGTATCTGAGATATTCATCTATTATGTTTACCAAATAACGAGATATGTTATTTTCCTCTAGTTTATCCATAATGACCTTCCACTGGGCAGTATCGTTTTAAGAAAGGCAGATCGACAACACAAGCGATAAACGGGGTTGTAAACACAGGGAAAGAAAATAATAAGAAATTGGTTGTTTTGATTA